TGTGGTTTTCTAGGACTCTTCTTAAGTGTTAGATTGAACTCATTTTAAATATATGTAACTTTAACCACATCAGAAAATTTTCATAATATATTGCTAAATGAGAATAGTAGGTTGCCATATTACTCATAATCTAAATTTTGTAATTAGATAGTCACATCACTGGATCCAGCCTGAAAATTTCCCTCACACTCTAGATTTGTATATATAACTGCCCACTTGACCTCTCTACTTGGACCTCAGATTTTTGTATATCTAGAACCAGATTCCAAATCTCCCCCTATTCTCACCCAAACTGTCTTTCCTCAGGCATCCTGCATCTCAGTTCCCTGTTTCCATCCTTCCAATCATAAAAACTAAAACTTTAGAACCATTCTTGATCCTTCTTTTTCTCTCCTGCTGCACTGCTCTGTGCAGAATCCTCCAGGGACTCCCCCTTCACTCAGAGTCAAAGCTAAAGCCTTCACAATGGTCCAGCGAAGCCTTACGTGATCTCACATCCCCAGCTCCGCAATAATTCCTGGCTCTCATCATTCTTTCCACCTCTATTCACTCTGCATCTGCCACACCGGCCTCTTGGTTGTTCGTCCGACAGACTAAGCCCAGTCCTGCTCCAACACCTTTGCACGGGCATCTCCCTGCCTGTCTCTCCCCAGCCGTCCATGTGATCTCCTCTTGACCAGTTTCACGTCTCATCTCAAATGGCACCTTCTCAGTGAGGTCTTTGCTGGCTCTCTACTTCATATTGCTACCCACCCACTCCCCACATTCTGTAACCCCCCTCCCTGCTTTATTTTGCTTCATGAAGCTTATCATATGATATTATCACTTGATGTGCCTCTGTGGGTATGTATGTGCATATAAACACACACATGCAAACACAAGCATATATGTACTTACTTGTTCATTGTTAGCCACTCCCCACTACCCTCCATAGGGATGGGATCTCTGTTTACCACTGCTCCAACCCCACTGTCCAGAGCAGTGGCTGACATAGAAAAAGCTCTCAGTAAGTTTTTTGGAATCAGTAAGTAAATTATTTATATTCATTCAACAAATGTTACTGAACCCCCACCCTATGCTAAACATTGTTCTAGAAACTTGAAATATCATAGTAAATAAAATAGACAAAGATGCTATTCTTATGAAGCCTTATTTTATATCTCTATCCCTATCTGTACATGTACATATATGTCCATGGGTACAGCTGCATATGCCTGTCTCTTTATCTACCTATCAAAAATGGGAAAGTGAATCATGATGGGATTATGGGTGGTTTTCCTTATTTGTGCTCTTCCATACTGTCTACATTTTCTAAATTGTCATATGATTACTGTTGTGATCAGAAGCAAATATGCAGATAGGAAAGAGGACAAAGGAACAGTTAAATGCAAAGGGAAACCTTGACATCTATCCTGTGTCCCTGTGAGCTCAAACATATAATGACATGTTAAACATTTATAGCCTTGCCCTTAACTGAGGCAGTGAGGCACTGAATTTAAGAGATTGCTAGAGACAAATTACCTGGATTTTAATCCTTACTCATTATGTGTGACCTTAATTAACCTCTCTCTATAGCTCAGTTTCTTCATCTGAAAATTGGAAATAATAAGAGTATCTTCATTATGGGTTGATGTAAGGTTTGAGTTAATACATGTAAGGTGCGTGGAACAGTGCAAGACACAGAATACTCAACTGGTGATAAGTACCATTATTGTTGGCATTATAGATATCCTTATCATTACTGAATGAAAAAGAGGAAGGATTTATTCCTTGTGGACCATCGCATTATGCATCTACTGGCTTCTCTTTAGAACTGAACTCTCACACGCACACATTTTAACGACTTATTTATAGTAAGGTCTTCCATTGGCAAATTCAGCAGGAATTAAAGATGAGTTCTGAGAATAGGAGCAGTCCACCCTGAGAAGCCCAGCTAGTCCTCACAGCTGTCTCCAGTGTGGTCTGTGGAAGCCAGTTTTCTGGCCACGTGAGTAGAGAGTCAGGGTATTGCCTCCTGTGCAGTGACAGAGAAAGAGCGTTGAAAATGAATCTGTCTAATTGGCACTCCAGTGTGAGTGCGTGGACGCCCGATGTGAAGTTCATTACCTTAACTAGAGAAATCATTACATTGTCTCAGAAAAAATAATTAATTCAGCCCCAGATCACATTTACAATTAATAACACTGTTGTGTATTGGGTAAACATATGTAATTCTTTGAAAAATGTATTCAGATGCTCTAGTCAGCCAAGTGGTTATACTTTCCCAAACTCAGCCTAAGAAATGCTTGGGGAGTTACTTATTTGTTCATTTGTTTTTCCCTCTCTGACTGTATGTCTAGCCCAAACCAATTACATTATTAATTGAAAATGTTCCCACTTAGCATTTTATCATCGTCATTTACCAATAAGTCAATTAAACCTTGATTGAGCATATTGCTTAATGCAGGAATAACTGTTTAGTCATCTGTGAATTCCACACTTCAGCAGTTGTATTTCTGAGGGTTAGGGATGTTTTCAAGGCAGCTACACAGAGGGCTGCAGGGTTTCCACATGAACCCCTGCTCTCCAAGGCTGAGACCAGAATGCTCTGAGGCAAGACTCCGTGACTCCATTTCCATTTCAACAGCTAAACAGAAGTGACAAACTACAAGTCTGGCTTAGTGTCTTAGGTGTGCTTTGTTTTCATATTTGACATTTGAATACTTCTTATTCTCAGTTTCACACAATACTTCACATTCTTTCCAAGGCTTTCAGTCACTACCTGCTCACTTGTAATTCGAAGAGAGGCAGCAGGGTAGCATGCCCGAGTGGGCACAGAGTCCCAGTCTGAAGGAAGTATCGGAGGCAGTCCGCTTCATTCATCTGGCTTCAGGCTGAATTGTACAATTAAGAGTCTGAACCGGCACAGTCCTCTACCCTCTCCGAGCAATTGAGATGTATGTGTGATAAATGAGGTGTGTTTGAACACCAGGCTAGAGTGCTTAGTTCTAGTTAAGCTCAGTCCATTTTTCATGTCAGGAATTCTCCCCTTAGGCCTCAGCTGAGCAGGAAACCCAGTCCTTTGATGAATATCAAATGATCATCGGCTGGTGACAATGCAGAGAGGGACTTAATCTGGAGGAGGTGCCCCTCATCACAGAAACAAAATGCCTCTGTGTGGGTCAAAGCTGCGACACAAACAAATATAGCCATCTGAACGGGGAAAGAGACCATATTAAAAAATTGACTTCATTAAAAGTACCTTTTTAGTGTTAGGGAAGAGGGTTAAAAGAGAAATCATGGTTGGGGTGGGGGTGCAGGTTAGAATGTCAGGAAAGAGGTAAATCAAAACTAAATATCAAACACAATCCATTAGTGTTGGAGATCTAGCGTCTTGTCCAGAAATGAAATGTAACCTAATTAACTTGAGGGGCTGAGACCTGAGCTGGGAGAAGGAAGAGGAAATTCTGGGGGGTTTCTGGAGGTTTTGTTCCAGAGGCAAGAAGCTTGCCCCAAATCTAGGCTGTGTATTAAAAGAGTTAAAAGCAGGGCTTTGGACTAACCAGGTGAGAGTTCAAGTCCTCCCTCTACCCATTACTTACTGTGTGACCCCAGTCAGTTTGCTGAACCTTTTGGTTTCCCATTTATAAACTAGGAAAAATGAAGACAGTGATAACAATGATAATACCTACATCAGAAAGGGGTTAAGATGCTTAAAGATAGTACACCTCTGTGGTGCCCGGTACACAGTGTCAATAACTTGGTTTCTGTGTTGTGTTGTGTGCAGAGTAGAATAGGAGACAAACAAGTGCAAAGAGGCTCATCTTCCTCTTGATTCAAGGAAACAAGTTGCCACTAAACTTGTTTTAGCCCCTTGAAATGTTAGCAACAGAATTAAGGCATTTTGCCCTTGGCTCTCCCTTTCCAAAACAGCGCTTCTCTGAGCTTTGCACCCCCTCCGAAGTTCTCTCTTATGCTTCCTTATTTCCACAATTGTGATCCTAGTGATTGCATGCTTTCATATTCAGATATTTTCTTTTCATTTCCCTTTGAGTCTGGGCTCCCGCTGAGCGATGCATTGTGTTCTTCTGTCTGCTGGGATTTGAGAGGGCCTTGGGCCGGGGCCAAACAAATCATTTTGTCTGAAAGGGCCTGAGGCTTTTCATTTTGAATTTCTACTCTTGATTGCTCATTATCTTGCAGGGCATTTAGCCCCAGCTCTGCCCTTTCTAAATTGAATGAAAATAGACAAGGTCCCAGCCTCCAAGACTTCACAATCTCACACTATTCAAACGGATACAGACCAGACGTAACCCAGGCAAACAAGTTTTGAAAAACTGCAGAAATTAGCTTGTAAGTGCAGACTGGGAAAGCGTAAGGGATGAACACACTTAGGGCTTGGCGGGTGGGCTCACTGTTTAGCAAGGGTGGGAGTGGGGGGAGAAGAATTCTCTCCTCCACCTTTCTCTCTATTGAACACTTGGGTTTTTGTCCTATACTTGGCCTTCTGACACAAAAGTTAATAAAGACAAAAGTTTGTAGCCTTCAAAATTAGAACTGTTGGACAAATATCAGAGCATGTGCACTATGCATGCAATATGACATTTTCCTGAATGCTGAAGATGGAAAATAGCAAACCTTGATGGTCTGCAGTTTCTCTTTCGTGACTATTCTCTCCTTCTTTCCTGTCGTGTTTAGAACAAATGACAGGGTGGAAGGAGAGTGAACTTTGAATGATTGAGCAGAAGTGGAAAGCATAGAAGGATGATACTAGGGGACGGCGGAGGGAGAAAATCTAGAATTGTTCATTTAGTCACTGATTTGTTTGTCTCCTCTGCTGAAACAGGAACACCTTAACGGCAGGGACTCTGCAGGCCTGCTCAAGCTCAATGCTGTACCCGTAGCACCTACAAGGGCCTGGTGTATGGTAGATGCTCAATAAACAACCATTAAAGAATAAGGAAATAGAGAACAGAATTTTCGACCTCCTGAGGTTGTGAGGTTGATAAGGACAGGCCATCATGGCCCCACTGCAGTGGCTAGTATGCTGGCGGCATGTCCCGCTCTCAGCAGCCGTAATGTCCTCCTAGGAGGTTGTCTGGGGGAGAAGTCCACATCAGGACTTGAGCATTGCCAGCATCTCATTTCTGAAATTCACAGGAGAACAACCCCGGCCTGCAGCAAAGACTGCCGCAGCACCGCCCTGAACCCATGTTTAGAGCTATTATTTGGAATCCTCACCTGACCAGGAAGGGAATCTAGTATCTCTGCATCTTAATTTTAATAACATTCAAATAGGAATCTCCTTTGCTCCCTGTGACCTCTCGTGTGGCATACAGGTTGTGTGTGTCTCATTTTAAAGTCTCACTGCATTTAAATTTAAACCACATAGCTCTCACAAATATTATTATTTAACTACTGAGAATTCGCATATCGTGAGCAGAAGGAAAGGACCTAGTCCCTGGAGTGTTACAGGAAGCCTCCAAGAGAAGGAAAAAGTCAATTGTGTCACTGTGGCTAATCCACTACCTGGGCAGGGGGATTAGATTCTTTTTTTAATGTTTGTTTATTTTGAGAATATGCACACCTGAGCAGAGGGAGAGGCAGAGAGAGAATCCCAGGCAGGCTCCCCACTGGGAGCCCGATGTGGGGCTCAATCTCATGAACTATGAGATCATGACCTGAGTCAAAATTAAGAGTCAGCCGGGTGCCCCAGCTTAATTAGATTCTCGAATTGAAATGGAAAAGTGATAGAGATCTCTATAGTTCATAAAAGTTATTGCCTGAATGATGAGTACCTTTCACAATCCCCGTCCCCCGCCCCAGTAAGTGGGATCTCAGAGTTATCTGATTGACTTAACACTGAGTGTTTATAGAAGAAGTTGTCTAGAGAACATGAAGAAGCAATCATCCCTGCTCAAAAAAAAAAAAAAAAAAAGGATAATTCAAAAATTATAGCTGGTGCTATTTTAGAAGCTGGAAATTTTGAGGCGACTCTATTTCCTTTAACAATTTGCCATATAACAACATCATCATGAAGCCTTGAGAGGGGCCCGTGTGTCACTTTCTCTCCTTCCAGGCTCCAGCGCCTTGGACAGATAAGCCAGAAATGAAAAAGAACTATGTCATAATTCATTTGTAAACATAGGAGACATGTCGGCCCCCGCCAACCCCAACATCTTGAAATTTGACGATCTTCTATCAAAAAAATGAACAAGGTAGAATTTTTGGTGACACAATTTCTCCATAGGGTCCCTTCCTGCATCCTGAAACCCCAACACTCTCATCAAAGCTGCTTTCGAAGTTGTGTTTGTGCGTGTGTTTGGGCTTTTGCAGTTACCCCTAAGCCCTGGCTGTGAAATGAAACGCTCTAGCACTTGCAGGTATCATGAAAAAGGTGGGATGGAAACAGGGTAAGATTGCCCAATATAGCAAATAAGAACACTAAATAGTGTTCCCACTTCAATGTGGACTTCACACAAGTCACAAATTATTTTTTCAAGGAGTTTAAGGATCCTTCCTTGCAAACTTTGGATGTACGTATATCAAAAAATTAAGCCATTGTTTGTCTGAAATTCAAATTTAACCGGGCATCCTGTATTTTCTCTGGCAACCCTGGAAGGTGGTTTCCTGGGTAGGGAGTCCTTCCTATGCCCCTGAAATCTCAGTGAATGCAGCTATTCATGAAAGGGACCCCGCCCTTCCCAGCCACCCAAAGCCAGCCAGTGTCTTCAGATGAAAAACAATTCTACCCTTTGTTGTCATCATTGTTAGGAGAGAGGGTGTTTACCTTTATTTGCACATAAAGTTTGCCTTGGAAAGCGGCTCAGTAGAATGGATAGAGCACCCACTTTGGCTTCAACATGTCGTGGATGGAATTCCAACTCTGACGTCTATTTGCAGCGTGATCTCACACTAAATATCTGTTCTGCATCCCTCCCAGATTAGAATGAGAATTAAAAGGAAAACTGAAGTAGGGCGCCTGGGTGGCTCAGTTGATTAAAGGTCTGACTCTTGATTTCGGCTCATCTCATGATCCCACTGGTCTTGGGTTCAAGCCCTGAATCAGGCTCTGTGCCCTGACCCCATGGAGCAGGCTTGGGATTCTCCCTCTCCTCTCTCTCTGCCCCTACCTTGCTCATGCTCTCTCTTTTTCTCTCAAAAAAAAATGAATACACTTAAAAAAAAAAATAAATCTACTAACCCAACACCCAGTATATAAGACTGGTCAATGTGGCCTACGGTGTGCCCCTTAGCAAAGGAAATCATGGAATTACTGTATCCCCAGACTTCTTGGAAAAGCATCAGTGGGTAGATTTTCTTGGTACAGGTCTTTGTTTCTTTCTTTAATATTCTTTTTTTTAAATTTTTTAAAATGTTTTTTTATTTATTTCTGAGAGAGAGAGAGAGAGAGAAAGCATGAGCAGGGGAGAGCCCGGCGCAAGGCTGGAACCCACGAACCATGAGATTATGACCTGAGCCGAAGTCAGACACTTAATCTACTGAGCCACCCAGGCGCCCCTTCTTTAATATTCTTATTGATGTATAATTTATATATGGTAAAGTGCACAGATATTCAGTGTAAACTTGATGAATTTTTTCTTACACATTTACACTTGAAACACTGGCAGTTCAAGACCTAAGAACATTTCCATCTCTCCACCTGCTAACCTCATACCTCTTCCCAGTCAGTGCCCCCTCCCCAGAAGTAACCACGCTTCTGATGTCTGTTACTGTGGATTAGTTTTCCCTGTTATTAAGGTTCTCATAAGAGAAACTAAACATTTCATGTTTGAGATTCATCTATGTTATTGTCTATCAGTAATTTGAGCTTTGCGTTTCCATATGATATTCCATTATATGAATATGCCATGGTTTATTTATGTGATTTGTTGTTAATGGACATAAGGATTGTTTCCAGTTTTGAGTTCTTAGTAATCAGGCCACCATGAACATTCCTGTTCATATCTTTTTGTGAGCATGTATTTGTTTCTCTTAAATAAATGCACATGAGGGAAGAGCTGAGTCATAGGATCTCTGAGTTCTCTCTCCAACTCCAGGTGGAGTAAAAGTTCATTACTTGCATTGTAAATTTGAAAATAGGTTTTAAAAAGGAGGAGGTAGAACAGAATTAAATAAGAAAGGGAAAAAGGAAGGAACTACCAGCCTAGGTCCTTCATCAAACCTCATCAGACATCGATACATATTTCAACTCATTTTACTGTAGGAGAAGCCCCTGAATTTAGAGGGAGAGCTTCTTCAAGACAATTCAGAAAACAGAATCCACAGGGAATCTGAGGTCTTATGCACTTAGTCATCTAGTGGTGATAGAGTGAATTTATCAATTAATAATTATTTGATTTAAGAAAACAATGGTAGTTTTGACTTACATAAAATTTATGTTCAAATCTATACCTTCATTTGCCTTACATGAATCTTCACAGTATTTTTGTCCATTCTCAAGTTGCCCCATCTCATTGTAGCAGATTAACCTTAGAAATATATAAGTACTTCATAGACCAATCATGTTTGAAGGCCAAAGATATACTCAATGCCAGTACAGTTGTTTCCATTTGGGAAAGAAATAAAATATATTGAATTTCATGTAAAATAAAGTTTTCATAAATGGGACCATCTAGTGATGCCCGTTTGAACTCCCTTGGACAATCTCTGCTTCTTACCGTGATTTCCCGGCGCAGGGCCCAGCTTCCCCCTCCTGGGTTAGGACGCTGGGTGCTGCTGCATCTGGCCTTAGGAGAGGGGGAGGAGTTGACCGCGAAGCCGAACCCCCATCTGCACTTACTCTCCTCTGACTGCTGTACTGAACTCCACAGGTCTGGGCGGCCCATTCTCAAAGCTCCTCCGGGAGGGAGGCCTGTGGGACAATGTCAAGGAGAAGTAGCAGAGCCACCAAAACAAGAAGTGTTGCGAATAAGGCTCTGCGACGTTAAGAATGTGGTTGTAAAGTGCAACCCTTTGTACATTGTTATGAAATGTATTATTCTGCCTGAAATTTTATTTTCAACATTTATTTATTTTTGAGAGACAATGAGAGACAGAGCATGAGCAGGGGAAGGGGCAGAGTGAGAGGGAAACACAGAATCTGAAGCAGGTTCCAGACTCAGCTGTCAGCACAGAGCCCGATGAGGGGCTTGAACCCATGAACTGTGAGATCATGACCTGAGCCGATGTGGGATGCTTAACTGATAGAGCCACCCAGGCACCACTGAAAATGTTTTGTTTGTTTGTTTTTTAAGCCCTGAATTAATCAGTACCAAAAGCCTGGTGCCAGGATTATACAATGAAGCATTGAGAGGATATGTTTATAATGCTATAGGGCACTAGGAAGGATGGGGTTCTGGTATGGAATTTGTTCAAACTCTATCTGGTAGAAACTGGGGTGCTAGACTGAACAGGTCACTGAACAAGGAGGGAGGTATAAGACAAAAGAGGCCAAGGGTTGGTCCCTGACCTCTCAGATTTAAAAATTAAAGCACTGGGGCGCCTGGGTGGCTTAGTCGGTTAAGCGTCCGACTTTCACTTAGGTCATGATCTCACAGTTCGTGAGTTTGAGCCCTGCGTTGGGCTCTGTGCTGACTGCCAGCTCAGAGCCTGGAGCCTATTTCAGAGTCTGTGTCTCCCTCTTTCTCTCTAACCCTCCCCTGTTCACACTGTCTCTCTCTCTCTCCTAGAAACAAATTTAAAAAAAAAAAAAAGAATATTGGTTAGAAAACATCATGGCCCGGAAGGCAGCAGACTCAAGTTCAAGTCTCCAAGTTGCCACTCTGTGACTCTGTGAATAGCAAGTAACCTCTTGAGCTTGAGTTTCCTTAGCTGAACAAGTTGGGGTCAACAGTGGCCATCACAGGATCACTGTGAGGCTCAAGTCAAATGTGAAGTTCAACAACTGTTGATTCCTACCTCCCCCCAGCACCCCCGCAATCTATTTTTCTGCTCAAATACCCTGAGCAGATCAGTACATTATTCCTTCCTGTGGAGATTGTCTCACATGCTGACTGTGACTATTTAGAGAAAAATAGGCTCCCTCGGACCAGGGTCTACAGCAGCCTTTGAGAACCACAATTTGAAAGGGTTGGTGGGAGATTCTGGGCAGACTTATCCCATGTGAAAAAGAAATCAGGGGAACTGGGGCTTAAATTAATTGCAATGTTAATCAATTTGAGTAAGACCCAATTAAACCTTCCCTCTCATTTTCACAGGATTTTACATATGCTAAATCCTCAGTGTAGCCAATAGATGTTGAAATGAATTACAATGGTGATTCTAACTCTGTGTGCAATAGGGTCAGAGCCCAAGCCAATTTTCCTCACAAAAACTTCCTTGATGACCAGGAGGCGATGAAAACAAGGATGCCGGATCTATAAATCTTTGCTCCTTAGAGAACACTCAGAATGGTTTCAAACTTATTTTATTGCCCCGAAGTGTTGATAAAGCCTTGTGATTGTTTCATTTTTTCCTTCATTAAACAAACGTTCATCGACCATCTATGCCAGATGAGGCACAAGGCTTCATTCAGGTGAATTACTTGCAACAAGCCCTCACTGGGCTCCTGCAAACCAGACTCACAGTCATTTATTACAATAATAGAATGTAGGGGCGCCAGGGTGGCTCAGTCCACTCAGCGTTTGACTTCAGCTCAGGTCATGATCTCACGGTTCATGAGTTCTAGCCCCATGTTGGGTTCTGTGCAGACAGCTCACAGCCTGGAGCCTGCTTCGGATTCTGTGTCTCCTCTCTCTGCCCCTCCCCAACTCATGTTCCGTCTCTGTCTCTCTCAAAAATAAATACACGTTAAAAAATTTTTTTTAATAAAAAAGTAATAGAATGTGAAAAGAGAGGTTATGGATTGGCTACAACATCCTGGAGAACACAGAAATGAGGACAATTTAGAGGAGAGAGGAATTTCTTCATAGAGGGGAAAAAATTTGGAGAGAATAACACTGAACAGGGTATTTTGGGTAGTTGAGAGTATGGCTTTGGATAAGTTATTTAACCTCTCTGTGCCTCAGCTGTACAATGAATTAAAATATTTCTTTCCTAAGACTGTTGTCAAGATTAAATGAGTTAAGCTGGTGATTTGTAGACTTGAGTGTGCATCAGAATCACCTGGAGGGTTTGTTAAGACAGATTGCTCTGCATCAGTTTCTGATCCAGTCTATCTAGGGTGAACCTCTAGAGTTTGTCTTTCTAGCAAGCTCCCAGGCAATGCTGATGCTGGCACAGGATGCTACACTTTGAGAACCACTGAGTTCTGAATTAATACAGGTAAGGGGCTCAGGACAATTCGTGGCACATGGCTAACAATGTATGTGAGCAATTATGTATGAGCTTTTGAGCTAGATTTAAAAGGATGAATAGGAGTTTTCCAGGTGGAGGAAGACCCTCCAAGAACAAGAACTCTCTAATCAAAGGACACTGTAGGCAAAAGAAATAGCACAGCATTTCAGGGAGAAACCAGAGATTGATTGGGTATAGCTGGAATGTAGGATGGCTTGGGGTGGGAGAACGCCAAGACGAGGCTGTGAAGGAACATTAAAGAATGGTTTGTGAATGCCTGTCCGTGCCCAGAGAGGCTTCAAATCCTGACTTGATGAGCCCCTTATATTAGTTCTCTCTGGCCTTCTCTCTCTTACAAGGCATCAGCTATTGGAACTCAGGCATGAGATGTTAGTGCCTCTTAGGCACCTAGTGAGATTTCACTACTACTGTTGCTTGTTTACTGCTTTTGCCTCTGGGTCACATGTTTCTTAGCACAAAGGTAAATCTGTGTCAGTTCTACAGGGCGGCAACTGACCAGTTAGCAACTTCCTAACTCGGAAAACACATGAGCCCTGAGCTTCTAGGCCAAACACAAGATTCAAGGCAACTGAGCAGCTGAAACTGTCTCCTTCTGTTATTTCATCCCAACAGAACAGGGCAAATCCACAAAGCAATTTTATCTACTGAAAAACAATTACAGCCGATGTGGGGAGAACACCACAGAAGCCTTGGAAATTTCCTGAGAGCCAGGGTATATGATATCGGGACAGATTTAATCTCTCTTGTTGCAGCCTATATTTAAATGGAGAGCTTAATCTCATTTTTATTTTCCGTAAAGAATAATTTGGAAAGGCTTCCGGGAAGGGAGGGTCAAAAATACTCTCAGAGCTCAAGGGGGCCTCCCCATAAAGACAAAAAAAAAGGAGAAATGCAAAAGAAAGGCTACAAAAGCTGAGTGCTTTTAAATGTTTATATCCTATAAATCTTCCCTGTTAACATAAAACATAAGTGTCAAATAATTGTCAGTCATAGAACAACAAAAGAATTTATGTTAAAAAAGGAAAACACTTTTTTAAGATAAGCTATACTGTTGGGCACTTGGGTGGCTCAGTTAAGCATCCAATGCTTCGGTTTGGCTCAGGACATGATCTCACGGTTTGTGAGTTCAAGCCTTGCGTCAGGCTAGAAACTGCTTGGGATTTTTCTCTCTCCCTCTCTCTCTGCCTTTTCCCCCACATGCATGCACGCGTGCTCTTTCTCTCGCTCTCAAAATAAATATATAAACTTTTTTTTAAAAAAAGAGATAAGCTGATGTTAGGTTGTGTGATGAAGATAATTTTTGTCCATCTTTTCTACGTCTCTCTGGGACTGTAAGAGGAACGTCAAAGGTCTAAATATGACCTTTCCTGGTCATTGGCCCTGGACCAGATGGCCTTTCTTGACCCCACTGTCGTAGGCCTTGATGAGCAAAAACAAAAAGAATTTAACTCGCCTGAGGTATTGACCAGAGAAGGAGGTTGTAAGGGCTTCTGCTGAATCTGTAGCAGTCAGATGAGAGATGGGCTCCCTGGCTGTGTCTGTCCTGTGTGAAAATGGAGGGGGTTGTTGAAGATCCAGAAGAAAGAAACAGTCAAGAGGAGCCAAAAAGCCTGGGATAGACTCTTCACTGGGCAAGTCACCCAACGTCTCAGTTTCTTCATCTGTAAAATGGGAATAACGGTACCTGTCTTACAGAGTTGTAGTGAGGGTTAGAGGAGTTAGGTCTTAAATGTCACACAATAGCCCGTGACGACATGTTTGCCAGCTGAGTGGCCTTAGGAAATTCACTTAACATCTCTGGGCCTCAGTTTTCTCAGAAAACAAGGAGGGAGGGTGAGTTTATCTCTGAAAAGCTTCCTGTTCGTACTCTTTGATCGTGTGACCCCGCTGTGAATTTGCTGCCCTCAAGTAGGAAGAGGAATAAGGGATGGACGGGAGCAAAGACCACGGTGGCCTCCTCCCCTCACGAACTTTGGCCACGGGTTTCTGAACGACTTGAGAGCTTGAACCACACTCCGAGAACATTTTACTTGCCTTGGGAAACTTGATTTGTTCATGACTGTTTGTACATAGCAATGTTTGTTTGTCAAACATCAAGTTGTAGAAGGTACCCCAATATTGAGGTTTAATTCCTGCCATGAGATCATTCCAGCCAAAAAGACTTCTGTGGGGGAAACTGCAGCAGAAACAACAGCCTGCATGGTCAAGTGGGAAGAAAACCTAGAGGCAGGATTCTATCCTCCGCAAGCTGTCAGCATCGCCGAGTGCTGGGGGCCAGTGGCCCTTTGTCCTTCTCACTAGAAACAGGCGGCAGAGCGCTATGGTGAGTGGCACTGACTTCGGTCCCACTGAGACCCATGCAGGTCCCCTGCTCTGCCCCTTATGGCAGTTACTCAAATTTGCCAAGCCTCACTTTCCCTATGTGTAACGTAGGAGTATAAACAGTACCCACTTCTTTTTTTTTTTTTTTTAATATTTTTATTTATTTCTAGGAGAGAGAGAGAGAGAGACAGCGTGAGCAGGGGAGGGTCAGAGAGAGAGGGAGTCNTTATTTCTAGGAGAGAGAGAGAGAGAGACAGCGTGAGCAGGGGAGGGTCAGAGAGAGAGGGAGTCACAGACTCTGCAACAGGCTCCAGGCTCCGAGCTGGCAGTCAGCACAGAGCCCGACGCGGGGCTCGAACCCATGAACCGTGAGATGATGACCTAAGCGAAAGTCAGACGCTTAACCGACTAAGCCACCCAGGCGCCCCAAACAGTACCTACTTCTAAGTTTTGTAAAGGTTAGATATTTTTAATGTAGGCTAAGTGCTTAGCTTGCTGTTCAGAGAAGTGAGCTCTTGTGACAGGCAATATAAATTAAAAATGTCAAACCAATATCATTCCTGTGATATAAATATATAAGATCTATATTCAGTATGTAAGTGTCCCTCACTTCTCCCTTTGTGGACTGTTGCACTGATACACTTTAATTTTGTGTTCAGAGTCCATCAGATAAGGCAAAATAATAATGTAGTAATGCCTAGGGACACCTGGGTGGCTCAGCCAGTTAAGCATCTGACTTCAGCTCAGGTCATGATCCTGTAGTTTGTGAGTTTGAGCCCCACATTAGGACTCTGTGCTGGCAGTGCAGAGCCTGGAGCCTGCTTCAGATTCTGTGTGACTCTCTCTGCCCCTCCCCCTACTCATGCTCTCCCTCTCCCTCCCTCCCTCCCTCCCTCTCTCTCTCTCTCTCCCTCTCCCTCCCTCACACACACACACACACACACAAAAGTAAACATTTTAAAAAACCTTTTTAAAATAACGTAGTAATGCCTTGCATTAAGATGCTCACGGGTCACAAAGCAATTTCAAGTGTATCATCTTCCATCTTCAATAACTTGAATTTCTTCAAAGAAGAGACTAACTCTAGTTTGCAGGGCTGGTGAGGAGCAGAGCAGGGAATAGAATGCAGTTTGTCCCCACTCTGTTCCTTGCAGAAGGCCACAACCCTTCTCTGCAGAGCTTACAAAGCTCTCCTATTTCTTACAAAGCAGTTTCTCATTCCCAGACGCTCTGATGGAAGTGGGGCTGATGTTATTGCCTCCATTTGTTAGGTGAGGAAACTGATGCTCTGGAAGATGAATGACTTTCCCAGCATCAGAGACAAGACCAGAACCTGATCATTGTCTCGTGACACAAACAGAAATATAATAACCAAATCAAAACAATATGATAAATGTTATATTGTTATGACATATAAATGTTATATTCCTTTTCAAATGACTATTCCTTTTCAAACAACTATAAAATGTTGTGGGGACCCAGGGGTGAAAGGAAATATTATGTCTGTGTGTGTGGTACATGTACAGCTATGTATTGTCCAGGGGAGGATTCCCAGAAGAACACTGGAATCATAATTTGAAGGATAAGTAGGCACTTGAAGGAAGAGTAGGTGGTGGGGAAACCAAGTTGCAAAGAACAGAAGCTTGACATACTTTTTCTGGTGAGGCAGAAAATTCTGTATGCCTTGAATTCAGTGTCTTACATTTTGAGGATGCTTTAATTTATTCTTTTAACAGTTCTTTATTGAGTATCTACTATGTGTGGGGCTCTGTAAGCTTGAGGTCCCTGTCACGTCCGCAGGGTATCCATAGGAGGTTGGAAATGCCAAATGGAACTGAAGAGTAGAGGCAGTATGTGAGCAATAGCAGAAGGCACTGGGGTAGATGATGTCATACTCAGGAGGAGAGCTGAGGACAGGTCCTTGCCTCCAATCTTTACAAGGGAGACAGAAGAGGTAGGGTCAGCAGAGATAGAAAGCAAAAAGTTCAGGGTGCCTGGATGGGTCAGTCGGTTAAGCGTCCGATTTCGACTCAGGTCATGATCTTACGGTTCGTGGATTCGAGCCCCACATCGGGCTCTGTGCTGACAGCTGCTCAGAGCCTGGAGCCTGTTTCTGATTCTGTGTTTCCCTCTCTCTGACCCTCCCCTACTCACGCTGCCTCTCTCTCTCTCCCTCCCTCCCTGTCTCTCAGAAATAAATTTTAAAAAAAAGCAAAAAGTTCAGAGACCGCAGAGGACAATCAGGAAACAGGATGAATGGGCAGGTGAGACCAGCATTATAACATCCTGTGGGGAGTTAAGACCAAGATGAGGAGATAGTCATAGGAAAGCACTGCTGGGAGGTCACCTCTGGTTTTAATGGGCACAGTTTTAATTAAGTCGAAGGGAAGAAGCTAGACAGCTGTCAATAATGGGAGAGTAAGGAGTGATGGGAGGCAAGGAAGGAAAGCCTCTGAGATCAGACGACTATCAGTAAGCCTGACTGGGAGGAAAAGGGAGAGTCTGGGGGCAGCCAAGGGCAATGGGAGGGCTAAGAATACGACTGAGGAAAACCCAAGACACTGGACACGAGAAAGGAGATAATAGACTAAGGACCCAAGGAGATAGAAGGAGACTTGGACAAAGACATTGGTCGATAGAAGTAAGGACACTTTTTCCCCAGATAGGGGTAGGACTCTTGTTTTGTTGCAAATAACAGCAACGGTAGAAAGTAATCACTAGCTTGCATCATGAAACAAGCTACTTGAACAAATAAGGGAAGTTAATTGGCTCAATAACTGAGATGTCTAAGGATGGATCTAGTTTTAAGAGCAGAGGGATCAAGAGGATTAGGACTTAATCTCCCTCCATTTCTGAGTTCTCTGTGTCTCTGTTCGTACCCTCAGGCACGGAGGCTCTCAGGAGGCACACTCTCATTTGAATACAATTTTCACAGCTAATTCTTATTAGCCAACTGAGTTCACGTGCTCATGCCCGACCAATGATTCCAGTTAGAGGAAAAGGAGAACTGATTGGCTTTGGCTGGTCACCTGCCTCTCTCGAGTTAGTGGTGGGATGGGTCCCTCCTAAGCCATGTGTCAAAGAGTTCTTGAGAAAAACCAGGGTGCCGTTAGCAGAAAAGTGGGGAAGGATGCTGGGTCAGTAAAACGCATAGAAAACAACAACAGAGAGGTTGAGGATACTTTGGAGGAGGGGATCCTGAGGAAGTCCAAGCTGGCTGGCGTCTCTGCCTTGTGTGTGTGAGGTAAGAGTGAGGGGGAATGAAAGTTGACAAAGTGAATTGACAACGAATGAAAGAAATGCCTGTCATGAGATGAAAGAGGTCCCATGGCAGAGGTGGAAACACCGTTATGTGTAGGAGACAGAGAAGCAAAGAAAACTCAAGCCACAGCAGCCAGGAATATAGCTCTTCAATTTCATTACTTAAGAAAGGCCCAGTAAAGATTCCAGAACAAACTAAGCTCATGGAAAGTGCTGAGAAAAGCTGGTTTATTCTCGGTGTGTCTCCCTATTTTTATAACTTACCCCAACTTTTCTTTGGGCAGGAACGGTTGGCCCCAGTAGTGTTGCACAGAGAGAGACACTGTCAGTGTAAATATTCATGGGAAAGTCTCCAGGGAGGTGCTATAGAAGGTGTTGGTGAGCAGTGTGCCTGGCTTTCTGAATAAGGATGATTAATGTGCATGTGGACATGCAGAGAGCCTTTATCTTCGGGACACACTTCAAAAATAATTTAAAAAAAAAAACAAAGCAGATTATGAGGAAAATAGATATTATGGAACCAAGTTGTAGGAACAGACTCAGGAGGGAAGTAAAGGCTATAAGCTCTTCAGAATTGGAACGTCCCAGAGCTTTGAAGTAGAGATTATCCACATTTGAGTCTGCCAGAGAGGACACTCCCATGATCCCAGAACCAAACATGGAGGAGGTGGGGGTTCTGAGAAGCTGCTCCACATGTAGAGTCCACACAGAAAGAAGGCAAGTGCTTCCAGCCCAGTGCTTGAAGGAGGCCCCCTGACCTCACTCACGCCAGAATTTTGCCCATGTATTTGGGTGCTGAACTACGTAGGGATGTTTGGGTTTTCCAGAAAACATGCTCCTTCAGGCTGGCCTGTCTCGTCTCAGCCCTTCAGTCCAATTTAAACCCTGTCCCCTCCACAAACCCTTCTTTGGACACCCCTGGCTCAGGCTTCCCTCGCCCCTCATCTGAACTCCAGCAGTACATTACTCATTCAACACTCAGATGGGGTCCTGCTTGGCTGTTTCCCTTCTGTGTGCATCCACCCCATCTGCCCAAGGGGAGTCCTAGAGTCCTAGATAGCACAGTCCTTGACTGGTTAATTTTGGGGTCTCTGGAACCCAGCACAGTGTCTGGCTGATAGCTGATGCTCAGAACATGTTTACTGGTCAGATTTTCCCATGCTTCAAGGTGGCTCTGAGCCCAGGAACTAGGAGAGCCAAGAACCAAGCCGGTCTCAACCACAGCCTGCAGTAGAGGACCGAGAACAGAAAGAGGGGGGCCCAGGAGAGAAAATAGAATGCCTCCAACACCTTGAACAGCTGTGGAAGCCATCTCAGAGTCAAAGGCTGTCTCTGATAGTTTCTGCTGAAAATCCCCAGATTACGCTTCTTATGGGATCTCCAGCCAACCACCGCTAATGGGGTTTGAGGGGGCCTTGCTGATTCATTTGCTGCAAACCCTCTGGGAAGAAGTCTGTGAGTGTCCCACAGCAGTGCTGTGGAGTCAGGTAACACCGGGAAAAGCCAGGTTGCTGATTACTTCTAAACTGGGTTCTAGCGTCCCCCTATGAGTTCTGTGAGCTACCCCCTAGCTATTCACTCACTCACTCATTCACTCAACAAGTATTTCCTGAGCCCCTATGACATTTGCTGACCCTGTTCCAGGAACTGGGGATACAGGGGAAAAAAAGAAAAGAAATCAAATAAAAAAAGTCCCTGCCCTCATAAGGCTCACATTTTATTTAGGGGAGAGTAGAAAAT